GGCGACCTGGTCTGAGCCACGATTACTCTTCTTTCTCCTCCTCGTAGTCGCCGTCCTCCTCCTCCTCCTCTTCCTCCTCCTCTTCCTCTTCCTCTTCCTCCTCCTCTTCTTTCTTCTTCTTTCGTCTTGTGTCCTGTTCGAATCGCGTTGGAGACCTGGTCTGAGCCACGATAACTCTTCTTCCTCCTCCTCGCAGTTACCGTCCTCCTCCCCTGCTCCCCCTGCTCCCCCTGCTCCCCCTCCTCCCCCTCCTTCCCCTCCTCCCTCTCCTTTTCTTCTTTCGTCTTGTGTCCTGTTCGAATCGCGTTGTCGACCTGGTCTGAGCCACGATTACTCTCTTCTTCCTCCTCGTAGTCGCCGTCCTCCTCCTCTTCCTCCTCCTTCTCCTCCTTTTCCTCCTCCTCTTCCTCCTCCTCTTCTGCTTTCTTCTTGTCTTCTGTTTCGAATGGGGTCGAAGACCTGGTCTGTGCCACAATTACTCAGCTTCTTCCGCCTCGTGGTCGGCCGTCCTCCTCCTCCTCCTCCCGCTCTCCTCCCTCCCCTCTTCCTGGCGGCCTCTGCAGACGCTTCGCCTCCGATCTCCTCCTCTCTTTCTTCTTTCTCCTTCTTTCGCCTCCGATCTCTTGCTCTCTTTCTTCTTTCTCCTTCTTTCTTCTTCTTCTTCTTCCTCTTTCTCCTTCTTTCTTCTTCTTCTTCTTCTTTCTCCTTCTTCCTTCTTCTTCTTCTTCTTCTTCTTCTTCTTTCTCTGTGCTCAATCGACCAGCGGAGACGCTTCGAGGATCTGGTTGAGAATTTGGCGATTCTTGTGACACTTGGTGGTGGGAGAGTGTGGTGAGGAGTGCCGGGGCGCAATCGACTGCCAGCGGAGACGCTTCGAAGATCCTGCGCGCGCGCGCGCGCGCTAACGGGGACGAGCAGTGACTGTGTATATGCAGGTGCTGTTAATTAATTACTTGTTGTAAAAAACGCAGACGCTTCGCGATTGGTCTTGCTATCGTCGTCGTTATTATAATTATAGTACTATAACAACTCGTCTTGTCGTGTTTCTCCTTTTCTTCTGTTCTTAGTTAGAAAAAAAATAAAATAAAAAATTCTTTGTGATGTCCGGATGATCACCGCAGTTGCGTATGGTGGGATGCCGGAGTGCTCTGCCTATCCCTCTTTTCTGGTTAGCCCCTTGCTTCTCCTTCTCCATACCTACTTCCTACTCCATGTGTACTCTCTTCTTCATGTCAACTTCCTCCTTCTCTCTCTCTCTCTCTCTCTCTCTCTCTCTCTTTCTCTCCCCCCTCTCTTCTTGTCATCCTCCTCCTCCTCCATGTGTACTTTCTTCTCCATCTCGACTTCCTCCTCTCTCTCTCTCTCTCCTCTTCATGTCATACTCCTACTCTCGTCGTCGCCGATATCGAGCCTCTCGACCTGCGCCAGGCGTGCTCTATCGGTCCTAGAGCTGTTCTCTCGGTCGTAGCGCTGTTCTATCGGTCGTTGCGCTATCTTCGCTCGGTCGTGGCGCTGTCCTCCTCCCCTTAGACCTCTTAAGTCTGTCGCTTCGAGCACAACCGACAGAAGAAGCGCGACGTCTTCTTATTCGGCAGGTTGGTCTGTTGTTCATCGCGCTGTCTTCTTACGTTCTTTCCTTTGTCTACTCCGTTAATTCATTTCTATGTTTTCGTACATCTCTTTGGTTCTGTCTTCTGTTCTTGGCTATCGGACCCTACAACTAGTAAAGAACGAGAAGTTACTCTTCCCTTCCCCTTCCCCTTCCCCTTCCCCTTCCCCCCCCCTTCCTTCCCCCCCCCCGCCCCTCCCTCCCTCTTAGGCGCTGCCATTCTACCGCGGCTATTTCTGAAGATCAATAGGACGGGAAGAAGAAGAATAGTGTAGTGAATAGGCGAGGCCAATCGGTCACCGTCTACGCATGGAAAGTTATGAGACTTCCAGCTCCCTGCACAGACATAACAAGCTCGAAAACGCGCATATTCCCCGACGCGTTTCGCCTGGCTGCGCTCCAGGCCTTATCAAGGGGCAAACCACACTCCCGCATCCACCTGACCGTCGAGGAGGAGGAGGAGGAGGAGGAGGAGGAGGAGGAGGAGGCGACGATGGAATGAGTTGTAGTTATTGTAGTAGTAGTTGTTGGAGAAGGTGAAGAATAACAAGAACAGTGAATAGTGAAAACATGGGCAAAGTGCCTTTCGTACACGCTGCATAAGTTCTTCAATACGGCCGCGCATACGAGTCTCAGCTTACGCGTACATTCTCGGACTCGCGTTTCCATCGGCTGCGCTCCGATCATCCTCAGGGTGCTCTCCTCACAACCATGCACTGCGGCCCACCGACTGTCCTCCCACCTAAGAAGAAGAAGAAGAAGATACTGTAGCGGACGTTCGAGGATAAGACGACGACGACGACGAAGAAGAAGAAGAAGAAGCGGCAGCAGCAGAAGCAGAAGCAGAAGAAGAAGAAGAAGAAGAAGAAGAAGAAGAAGAAGAAGAAGAAGAAGAAGAAGAAGAGAACAACGAAGAGATACGAGAGGGTGAGAGATGGAAGGGAAATGGGGAAGAGGAGGCTTCGACTGATAGGGGAG